GAAGGAAAGGAAAGACAATTGAGATAAGGCAGATTTAGGAAACAGACTGGGGCAGGTATGACAGGGCATGGGTTCAGCATTCATGGTATGTTAAAAAATTACCCCTACTCCATCTACCTTTTCCCCACAATGCACTTTTTAGACCATAATCTAAAGTTCTACAGTTGCCACTATGGATAGAGCAACAAACCAATGTCAGTTCCAGCACATGTATGACATAGTTAAAACACAGATTCTCAAGATGTTGTTCTCTGGTAGAAAGAGATTGGTTTCTTGATTGTCTCACATATTGTAAACAAGACTCTAGCCCAAAACCTATTACCTAGTTACAGAGACATAGCTCAAATGGTATTTGGAGGTGAACTGGCCAAAGTTATCATCATAGACACTATCAGTTACAAACTGATTTGTATGACTCAGCATACAAATGATAATGTCTATATGGTTGTTGTGGCTTTTTCGGGCTTGTTGGCCGTGTTCTGAAGGTGGTTCTTCCTAACGTTTCACCAGTCTCTGTGGCCGGCATCTTCAGAGGACAGCAAACTGTGCTCTCAGATGATAATGTCTATAGTGATCTCCTTTGAATTGTGGTGCTGGATGAGACTCTTGAGAGTCCCCTGGACTGTTAAGAGAACAAACCTATCCATTTTGAAGGAAATCAACCCTGAGTGCTCACTGGAAGGACAAATCCTGAAGCTGAGGCTCCAATACTTTGGCCATCTCATGAGAAGAGAAGACTCCCCGGAAAAGACCCTGATGCTGGGAAAGTGTGAAGGCAAGAGGAGAAGGGGATGACCGAGGATGAGATTGTTGGACAGTGTCATCAAAATTACCAACATGACTTCGACCAAACTCTGGGAGGCAGTGGAAGACAGGAGGGCCTGGCATGCTCTGGTCCATGGGGTCACGAAGAGTCAGACTTAATGACTAAACAACAACAACAAATAGTGACTTCCTGGAGCAATCTGGCTCCAAAAGTTATACAGTTTGCATACCATGCAAAATAATTGATCAAACTTGAAACTTGGGTTCAATTTTCCAACTGGAAGAACTGTGAGGTCTAGAGATTGCTAGACAAGGACCAAGGCGGTGCTCAATAAGATATCACCTAATCTGGCTTCCAAATCCCTGCTCTCTGGGAGATCTTGGGTCAGTCGCTGTCTACCTAACATTAAGGTTTTACTGCAAGGGTAAGATGGACAATGGAGAGAGGAGCCCATGTATTCTGCCCTAAGTACTTTGAAGAACAGAACTTGAAAAATATTACATTCCTATCATGCTGCTGTAACTGAAAAAACAAGACAGAAAGCTGGAAATAATGCAGAACACTGTTCAAAATGAATGAATGAAAGAATGAATAAAAATTTGTAGAGTGAAATTTCTGATACCAGATGATTTCCTAAGATAGTTTCCAGTAGAGCACCACTTACATTTCATACCCATGCAAATTCTATGTATTTATGTTTTAATTTCCAAGAAAAGCTGCTACATAGAATATTTTACTTAAAGCTTTCTGTTTCTTCTACAGTCAGTAAATGGAAACAGCTGGTTCTAATCATCAGTTCCAGGAAATTCTCCCCAATAACTAAATCACTTGTTTTTCTTCTGTTTTTGAAAATGCTTTCTGCAACAATGAGTCATCTCTTCTGCTGCAGAGCATCCTATTCTTGTCATGCTTCTGAAGCACTTTCTAAAAGAAAACAAGGAAGGAAGGAAGGAAGGACAGCTATAATGACTTGCATCACTCTGGCAGTCCTGCTTAACAATTAATGGCTAATGCCTCCTACATATGTTTACTCTGAGTTAGGCCCACTGTGTTTACTTTACTTTCACAGAAGTGTGCAACAGACTACTGTACATTTCAAATATGTTTTTACGAGGTGCAGTGTCCTACAGAATTCTTTTCCTATATCCTCGGGCCAGTATCCTACTGAGCTTTCACCAAGCAGAATGTTCCATCAGTATAACAAGACATGATTGAGCCAGTTGTGCATTGCCAATGCATAAATCAAGGATCCATTTTCTTCATCCACTTGCACAACAGAAACACTTGCACAAGTGCCGAATCTTGTACACCTATGCTGGTAGGACTTCCCAATTAGCAGAAGCTCAGTACAGTATGATACTGGCCTTGATGACTGGTGGACAAGGGAAGCAAATAGGTAGCCTTTCATTGACATGATATCTGAAGAACGCAGCTTTTCTCAATGTAGGTTCTGCATTATATTGACATATAATCTTTATTTTGTTGTATTGTAAAAACAGAGAAGCCACTGCCATAGTTAATGGTTCTTTTGTGTTGCCAACTACACCGTTATCATGGTTAAATTAACACAGCTAATTGTTGAACAACTGCACTTTTATTAACAGATAGGAGATTTCAGGCTTTGGGACAGATCACAGTAATGTAGACATTACGATGGCATCTGCAAATGAGCCATTGAAAGGGGGGGAGCTATTCACATGGTCTGATGTACTAACAGAAGGAACAGTACTCTCCTAGATCAGGAACTGAGCATGCAAAAAATACTGTGCAGTTCTCACTGCTGAAGCCTGACCAAAGTGCAGCATGCACGGCCCTAAGTGCTTGAGCAGTCTGTTCATACAGCACCAGACTATAACTGCCAGCTAGCTTTTGACAACAAGCCTTCTATCCTTGACTCTCTTCCCCCACAACAGGTTTTCTATACAGGTGTTGGATATAAGTAAAAGTGATGACTTCAACCATTTATTGGACATTTACAGGACAACTGTTTCCCCTGCTTGCTGGATATCTGCATGTGAATTCCAAATGCTTTCAGAAAGATTAATATGTTCTTTCATTAGTGCAGGTTTCTGTCTTCATGATTTAAGTTGCTCTTCAAACTTGACAAGTGGGGGGGCGAGAATGCTCCTAATTCATTTATGAAACACTGCCTTCAAGTAGATAAATTACTTTTGATAGAACTGCATTATGAATGGGATTGTTGCACCATTTTTAGGTATGCCTCATACTTTTCGATTCTATAAGCTATTTTGTCCAAGGAAGGTAGATAAGCAAGAGCTTAATAAGGGAATTACAACACACACTTGCTGACTTCTAGACTAATTAAATCAACAAAAGCTTTCCTTTGGTGTATATATAAAAAGGGTGGTTAAAATTTGAGAATCAGAATACTGTTTTTTACCATCCTCTTCAGATGCTCACTTCCAAACACACACACACACACACACACACACACACACATCCAAAGGGCAGTGCACTCACTGTATATGTGCACAATGTCATTAAGGAGACACCATATATATGTTACTTTCACTCCCAAAATTCTGGGTATTCCACCTGACAGACACACACCTACAAACATCTATATTTCCTTCAGCTAGCAGCAGGGCAGATTCCTTTTTCAACAGGAAGCTAGTCTAGAGCTAGGCCATGACATCTTCAAGCAAGACCTTTCTCTCCTTTTACAACAGGAAGCTAGTCTAGAGCTAGGCCATGACATCTTCAAGCAAGACCTTTCTCCAGGTGAGTAAAATGTAGATGTTAGTAAGTGTGAGTCAGTCAGGTAGAACTCCCATGGAGAATTCTGGGAGTTGAAGTCCAAAAAAATCTGAATTGCACATCCTTACACCCTAAAACAGGAGCGACTGAATTTGAAGGTGGCACCACACATGCATTTAGGCTTCCTGGTATTGACCATCATTCTGTCTGGAGGCACTGAAAGAATGTGCACTTTCAGTGAGGTACATTCCTAGAGTCCCCTTTAAATGTTCTGATGCAAAAGCCTGAAGAAGGCTTTCTCTGAATCAAGCTGTCATATGTGACTGATAAATACAAGAGCAGTCATTAACAACCACTAAGGACAGAAACCTTCATCCATTATTTACCTGTGGCACCTAATGCAACTTATAGCCCTACACCACTTTGCATGTAGAACTTTCTCTGTATTAAAGGCTAGAGAGAATGTCTTTCGAGTCAATGTTTTAGGACTTTGCTAAAACATGGATTTCATTCCAATTTTGTCTGTGTGCTTACATTATTTTAACAGTCCAACAAAGATATTACATATCCCTGCTTTTGGATTAAATGTGCATACTTTCATATTTGGGTATCTATATGACTGGAAATACAGTGGGGTCTTGACTTAAGAACGGCTTGAGTTAAGAACATTTTGACTTAAGAACCACTCTCATAGGAAAATATTGACTTGACTTAAGTACTTAGATTTGAGTTAAGAACTAAAAAAAACCACGTGGGAAGCAGGGAAAGTGCAAAATTTGAACTTTCAGTTAACTGTTGGCCAGTGAAAAGGGTGCCTGTCTGCTTCCTCACTCCTCCCAGCATTTAGAGAGTGGATTGGGAGACAGTCTTCGGACTGCCTGGTACTTGTCCTGCCTGGACTGTCTTTTCCCTGCCTTCCCTGAACCTTTCTTGACCTAAGAAAAAAAGAATCAAAATATCCCCCTCTAGTGGTCGAAGGCAGAATAGCAGCTTCCCATTAGTTTCTATGGACGGAAAAGAGCAGATACGGATCAAATGGTTTTCAATGCATTCCTATGGGAAATGCAGATTTGACCTGAGACCTTTTTGACTTGAGAACCGCCTTCCAATACGGATTAAGTTCTCAAGTCAAGACCCCACTGTATATAGCACCAAACTCCTGTTTACTACTTTAGCTCAGTTTTCTAGCTAAAGATTGAACTCAATACAGCACCCAAGTGTGGGACCTTATAGAGACCATGCTCTTTTATTCAGAGTTGCCAGTGCTCCAACTTCAATGAGTCTTCCCTCTAAAGAGCCAGATTCCGTACAGTTGGATTTAGAGTAGATAACTTTTTCCATAGGATTCCAACATACAACCTTCTAAGAAACTACTATGTTTTAAGTAAGCTTCCAGCACGCTAGAAAACAGTATGGGAGATCATGACAACCCATCTCTTCATAGCTCCATCTTGAGGTTGTTGTGAAATCATGAGATAGGAAAACTATAATTATGTTCTTTTCCATACATTCTCACCTGCTTAGGTGTCACTCCAGGCATGCGAATGTCCAGTGCAAAATCTGATAACCCTAGAGGAACAAGCTGCCTGTTGCTGCCAAGACATTCGTTAGCGTGAGACCTTGCTGCATCCTTATACCTAAAACAAACAAAGAAAGAAACAAACAAAAAACAGAACAGGACGATTACAGACATACCTTGCATTTTAAATGTATTTTTTAAAAATTCTAAGATTCCTATAGGTGCTTTAGTAACTCCCATTAGGCCTTTCAAATTTTAGAAACATATGGAAATCCCATTAACTGGGAGATCCATTAATATGAAAGTTACCTGGTTTTTGTAACACTTTATTTTGCATTTTTGTAAATTATAAAACAGTATGAAATATTAGGCCTAGCAAAACACTAGAATTATTCAAAATATCAAGTCAAATAATGTTTCATAAGTTCACTGCCAATAAGAAAGAGTACAGCTTTCATTTCAGATGGATGCTGTATCGTTGAGAGATGATATTTAACTTACACACAACCAATCAACCAAGCTGACATTACAAATATGTTGATTCACACTCCGTTGAATCATATGGTGAGTCACACTTTTGGAAGCAAAGCTGAAAATTGAAACCTGCAGGGTGAGTCACAGTTTACAATAAAGCCCAGACAGGTTCACTTCATTGAGATCTGTGAGTGTATCATTCAGCTGCCACTCAGGTTCTCCAGAAAATACCAACATACAGAAAAATCGCAGGTCACAATCCTGCTGGTGTTTGCCTAGGGTTTGAATAACGTGCTGCAGCTAATAGTGGCTAATTGAGAAGGTACTGGGCCATATCTTAGTCATGTGCCTGGTCACAAGCCCAGCTGCACTACTGAGATGCACTCTTACACTGAATCAGTTAGCCACAATTAGTTGCAGCAAGCTACACAAATCTTATGAAAACACCAACTGGATTCAGAATATAGTATAGAAACATTCAACAGTGCATGTACAATGATGCTGGGAAACTACTGTTATTTCACTTCTTGAAATGTGACTGCAAACGATTATTTAATAAAATTTTGTACCATGTGCCTGGATACAAAAATGGTCATGGTAATTTTCTTTTCTTAGATTTTGTAACAAAGGTGAATCTGAAGACCATCACATGGAAAATGACAGAGGACTGCTAACATCAAAGCAACAAGATAAGAGAAGTCTTTGATGCAATGTGAATACTAAATATACCTATGGATAAATATTTGATGTGGCAATTATGATGAGTACGCTGTACATGAGGTCATGTTGTCTTGTGTGCAAATACAACTGACTTCCTCTTAAGAAGGCATTCAGAAATGCAAGCAGACATCCTCTAAGCAATTGATAAGTTATTTGATGTTTCTTGAAAAGATACTTCAGATCAGGAAGAAGCAGGAACTTATGGGAGGGGCATTTGATACATGAAAGTTTCATAGATTTTACAGGAAAAGAAACTGTAGAAAGAAATGTTATCCACCATTATTGGTATGACAATACACATTTCAGCATACGGTATCAGCATTAAACTACACCAATTGCAACTATAATTTTTTTAAAAAAACAACAACATTTGAACTATATAACAATGGCTTTCTTTTTTGCTTTGCCAACAAAACAAAACAAAACAAAACAAAATGGAATTCACTCTTGAACATGTAGCACAATTCTGGAAAACAGTTGCAACATAAAGCAGCATGCACTGACAAACGCTGTAGATCCTGCTTATGGAACCCACCTTTTAAAGACAGAAAGTGGGCTTCTGAAAGCCAAACAGCTGTTTTGAAAAATAAGGAACAATATTAGTAGGTTGTTAACGAGGCCAGCCATGTCCACCCTGCTGTTCTTGACCCGATTATGGAAGCAGGAAAAGGGCAGTGCAACTTTATGTCAGCTGTGATCCTGACAATTAGGCACCAGCAGCACTATCAATTCACTACTTCATTATGTTGTTCTCTGCAGGCATTCTTCAGCTCTTTGACAGACCATCTGTCTTAGAAGATGATGTGCTTTAAATCAGAAAGGTGGGACGATACTTTGCAGTCTTCATTAGAAGCAGCAGAAAGAAGGAAGAGGAGGAGGATGTCGAAGGAAAAATAATTCTTTTCTTTGCAGATAGGTTGTAATAGACTTTTGTCCAGTTTAAAGACCAGAAGCCAAAGTCACCCCCCTGGTGTTTTTCAACAGTCTACTATCAAATCTCCAGGCCACTTTATCAATCCATGCCACAGTGAAAGAGGCTCCAAGTGGCATCACAGAAACACGTCGCTCATCATTCTGAACCTGTAAAAATAGAAACAGATAATGGGTGACTAATACACTACAGTATTGCTTAGCAAATCCTTGGTAAAGCTTTTTCACACATAAGGAGTTTCACCAGTCTTATTTCAACCCAGACAAGGTATTTGTTGACCCGCTCCACTCTTACAAACACATAATGGTGCTTAATGAGTAAGTGTAGTACATATTTTTGTAACATTCCTATCAAAAGCAGTTTATCTTCATTTTCAAATCACAGGGCTTACAAATCCTAAGTACATTTAGGTAACTGCTGGATAGCTCAGTGGCTTAGTATCAGAAGCAGGGAGTCTGATTCCACACTGTGCCTTTTTGACAGGGGCTGAACTCGATGATCCATAAGGTCCCTTCCAGTTCTGCAGCTCTAAGATTATTGCCTAGTATTCTACTTCCCTGCTTCAGAAAAGACTGGATTCAGTGCTGAATTTCACATGCAATCTTATATTCTAACTAACAACTAAGAAACAAGCATTTCTTTTTATGCAATATAGAGAAAGTTGCTAACTTCTTAAGATCCTGTGTCTGAAATTAATGATGGAGGACATTTAAAGTTAAAACAAAAATATATGGTTCATACAACTTCCTGACTGAGCAGCTAAAAAGCAAAGAGCATATACATAAGGTCTGAGTCTGTGACAGACTTTGAAAATGTATGAGCAAGTCTGACCTGCACTGCTTAGAAGTTTATAGCAAATCCTAATCCAGATTTTTTAAATTCCCCCCCCCACCTTTTTACACACATTTCATTTTTGTTTAGGATTCAATTTATTAATGCCTTTAGTCTACACATTATTTGTTCATATCAATTCTGGTGTAGGAATTAATTGGCACACAGAACTCCAGACTGCAAAATGTTTCCTGTAATATTGGGGGGGGGGGGGAATCAACATACTTAGGGTTATTTAAGATATTCAGTCTTCAACAGTCTATTGATTAGAATCTGTCTTCTAAGCAAATGTAGTGAGCATAGCAACACAGACATGGAAGAATGTGAGTGATTAAAGTAATACTTTAAATTTGATATAATATGTATATGGGCATATGAAAACAAAGTGAATGTGCAGAAAAGTGATTCACAAAAAAAAAGCTCTCAGAAAGGAAAAAGCTTCATTAAGGGAGCTCTGTTTATTATTTACGAATTGCCTGAGGAATGTTAGGTAATAGGCTGAAGAAGTAAGTGGCAAAAACTGTTCAGACAGGAGTTTTCAATAGACCTGAAAGCCAACGAACTACAAAATAAAATGGAACAAGTGAGGATAAGAGACACAAACAACAAGATTACATGGTTGCTTAGGTTCATTATATATCTATGCTCTGGGTTAGAATAGATACTCTAGAGGGAGACAACAAATACAAGGCAGAAACAAGGTTAAGCAGAAAGACCAGAAAACTGTTTTGACTGATTAGAAGCCAATATCTTACTCATATATTTTGGAGTCAAGCACATCTAATTTACACTTCTGTTTACTTGAAACGGTTCCTACCTATGTGTCTCATGTCAGGTTGCAGTGTTTACATGATTCCAGATACCTCAACAATGTTGCCTCAGCTAAGTCAAGGAGAAAGATGAGCTCAGATCTGAAAGTTTGTGACTTACAGTAATAGATTCAGAGCAGCTCTGGCTGGTCATGCAATCCTTTGTTGCATTCTAAGAACATGACAGAAGAGACACTTGTGCTTTCAGTGTAAAATTCTGACATGCGAGTTTTGTTTTTAACTTTTTGAATGCCTGCAGCTCACTAACAGGATTTATAAAACTACTGTTCTACTGCTGGATAGCTTGGTGGTTTAGGTATCTTGCCGCAGAACCAGAGGCTAGGAGTTTGATTCCCCACTATGCATCCTTCACAAGTGCTGAACTCAATGACTGACAGGGTCCCTTCTAGCTCTGCAGTTCTAAAATTATGTTGATGATGATACTTGTAAAATGAAACCCGAGCTGTTCTGAAACACTATCAGCTAATTGTTCATCAGGTTCTTTTTCCAAGCATATGAGAATCTACGCCCTCTCCTCATTTCCACTTTCTTCATCAAGAAAGCAACATGTTTGTGGAGCAGAGATTCCTATTCATGTGAAGGTTCTCCATGTGAGCAAGAATCTATAGAGTGTACATATAAGCTTTTCTCTGCACACATAACTCTGCATGTGAAGAATGTGATGGTAGAGAGAAGAATGATTATGAAGGGGAGCTATGTGTTCCTTTCTCATGTATTGGAGAGAACAGGTAAGTAACTACATAATAAAACCTCAGTATTTTACAGAAACTCATGTAACATTAAACACAGATCATAGGTTAGTTAATTAGGAACACTGCATATTACACAGACTAGCTCTTGAGTTCACTCTGACAAGTTTTCAGGGTGTACTAGATCTCCTTGAAAGGATTCTGGAGAAGATCTTGGTCTTCCCGGTTGTCTTTAGAAGTACTCTACATGGGATTTGTGAAAACATCCTATAAAGTAGTTGTACTGAATTGCTCTGATCTGGGGGTTTTGTGGTCGGGTGGAAGGAGAAGGCTTTAAAGTCAGGAAATGCTCTTTTGGACTAGGATGGTTGCAACATCATCCATTCTCTTTGTTTTTAAAAAAATTATTAATTTTTCATTCTATCTACATTCAATTCGTGCTTATTAAACATCCTGTTACATGAGTTGCTTATAATTCTTTATTTTTGTGTCTTGGTGTCTTCTTAGTTGTCCCTTCAAAATCTTTACATTTTTTAAGCATTTGAACCAATCATATGTGTATTTTAGTGTACAACATTGGTTACTATCATAATATTGCTCTCATAGTATACAATGTTCTCAAAAATCCTCTAATAAGATACCTCATAAAAGTAATTCTGGTTTCAAATCTATATAATTTTGAGGCAATTTAACTGACCAACTTTGTATTTTATATCAATAATAACTAAATAGATTCCTATGATAAATGATTATATTAAGCATTTTATATAGATTTTCTTTATATAATTGTTCAGCCTTTTGTATCTCCACATTTTCTATCCTGTCTATACCGATATCATATCTGATATATGTTAATTAAATACTGTTTGTTTTGCCTCTTCTTATATCTAGCTTCAATTTACCTTAAGAGCCACCATGTTATGCCTTAATCCCAATTAGTAATCCCTTATTTCAGTTTGATTCCCTTTTCTAATATATAAGGTATGTCTCCTTACAATTCCGGAAGTTAGATATATACATACCGTATTTTTCCATATATAAGATGCCCCCATGTATAAGACGCCCCCCACTTTTCTAACCCAAAATTAGGAAATCTAAGTGGGGCTTAGCAAATGTAGGGTAAAAAGATTCAAAGTGCTGCAGGATGGCTTTGATCCCTGTTTTCTCCCTTTGTGCTAAGCCCCTCGTGGCTTAGCAAAAGGAGGGGAAAGGGATCAAAACAATTCCACAACTGCACAATTATTTTGATCCCTTTCCCCCTTATACAGCCATGGGATTGCTTTGATCCTTCCCCCCTCCTTCTGCTAAGCTCCATGGGGCTTAGTAAGCAGAGAGGAAAGCAGGGATCAAAGCAATCCTGCAGCACTTTGATCCCTTTCCTTTTGCTAAGGCTTAGCAAGTGGAGGGGAAAGCAGGGATCAAAGCCCTGCAGAATCGCTTTGATCCCTACTTTCCCCTCCACTTGTTTTTTCTCCTCAGTTTACTTTCGTGTATAAGACGACCCTCAATTTTTAGTCTAAAGATTTTAGACAAAAGTGTTGTCTTATACATGAAAAAATAGGGTATTTTCCACGTTGAAGGCCACCTTAATGATTTTTCCTCTTTATATCTTTTTAAGTAACTCCTTTTATTTGTCTTTTCCCAATTCCTATTCCTATCTGTCTAAAAAGTCTGCCATCCCTTGTACGATCTGTGATCATTTTTTGCACTTGATCTATCTCCAATAGATCTCCAAAGCTATTTAGTTAAATCTGCTGGTTCTCTCCCCTTATTTTCCCTTAGCACACTTAAAACTCTCCTCGGCTCCATGGTTAAAATTAGTTCTCCTAAATGTTCTCCTCTAGTTCCCTCCAGCCCCTCCTTTGATTGGCATACATTGTCCACTGCCCTCTCATTTCTTGTTCATTCTTCCTTTTATTTTGTTGACTATAGTCTTTCTTTAGCTGCTCCTTGAATAATTTCACCTCTTCATTGTGGGATCTCACTATTTCTAAGATTGCTTGAAGGGTGGATTTTGTTTTGTCCCAAAATTTTTCTTGTTGTAGCATTATGTCCAGATATCCAACTATTGTATTCCAAGTAAAAATTGTCCACTTGCTTAGTAGTAATCAGTCCAGTGCCATCAATACTTGCTTCCATAGGTCCATTTTAGTATATTGATCATCTTTAGGGTTAAACTTAAATCCAGTCTTGGACATGAAGAATTTCCCCCACTTGGAGGCTGAAGGTCACTTGCTCACTAGTTCTGGGCTTTTTGCCAATGCTGTAGATAACTGTAAATAATTGCAGCAAAAACATAAGCAGTATAACTCCAAGGTTGTTAACTAATAAAAGAAAGATTCCTTAAGTTTCTAACACCAAAATAATACCAAACTTCCTTCCTTGAAGTATAATTAAATGTCTAATTAGTGTCCAATTCATTTTCTTTGTGTCTCTTTGCTCCTCTTCCTCTCTCCAGATTCACCGCTGCTCTGTAAGTGTTGAGGATACGAGACACTATTTCTGTTATAGGGAATTGTCTCATCCAGGAATAGTCATAAAGCCGTATACTTATAAAATATTACTCACCCAATGATAACAGATAATGTTAATTAAGCTGGTTTATCGCTTCTCAATTGCCAGCTACTGATGACTTTCAAGCAAGCTTTCCAGCTGCTTGTTTCCACCCGCTGGTTGATTGAGGAGTATCCCAGATCAAACGGGGATAAGCACCATCATACCCATGATCAACAGGCTTCTCTCCCATTTCACCACCCCTTCGGGGTGGTTTTAACCCCCTGGGGGGGTCCCAAACAGGTC